GCAAAAAAAAAATATCTTTTAGTTTAGTTCTTTAAATATTTTTTCATGTATAATAACATATTAAACTTTTATAAGACACAAAGTTAAAAGAAGGGAACTAAATGCGTAACTCTTTGACTCTAATCCCCTAAGATGAGTGTATATAATAAACTAAGTGTGTCGGCAGTTATGACTCAATGAACCTCAAATTAAGCATCCAATTTAGTTAGATATTGCATTGTTGGTAGTTTAAGAAAGTTGGTTAAGAGTTTTAACCTTCTTAGATTGACCAATAACCGATAGAAAAAAGTTCTTATAACACTTTTTAAACGAAATAGAATATATATATATATATATATATATATATATATATAATCATATTCCATAATAATTTTCTATAAAAAAATTATGAATAGCATGTGTTATGAATAAATAAATTTTATAAAAATTGACAAAAAAAAGTCAAATTTCACACTCATCTTCATAGTAAAATATTAAAAGAAGTTGCATCATATCTTTAAGATGAGTATAAACTAATTTTATATTATCATTTATACATGTGTTCTCACGTGAGTGAATATTATTAAATTTTATAATAAATTAAAATTTATAATTTTTTATATTCTAATTAATTAATAATATGAAAATTTAGAAAGATTTTACAGTATTATAATTCATTCATAGACTATTTTTTTTAATAAGCACAAAAAAATTCTATTAATATTGAGTATAAGAGGTACTAAATATTATAATTGCTTTAAAACTCATATTTATAAATATTTTTATTTAATTAATAGTACAAAAAATATATGTATTAAAATTAAAATCATAATTTTTATAAAAAAAATATATATTATTAAAAAATACTTATTAAAATGAACAATTAATTTTCTTTTTCAATTCAATTCCTTTTAAATCAGTGTTAATTTTCACTGCGAATACCGAGATTTGCATTTATTTTAATTTTTGGTCAAAGTTTAGACCGGCTTGAACCTTGTGCTTTTTTGTCGTTCCAAAAACTTGCTTACAAATATTTTCTGGTATGTGTTTCCTTTTGGTTAAATTTTCTGGAAGTTCAAAGTCCATAAGATTTAAAGGCCCATTATGCCTTAAACTTCAAGCCTGGTTTGGTCATAACTTGTAAATACTTGGTAGTGAAGTTTGATTGAACTATTAGCAATCTAAAGTGTCTCAACGTTCCTCTGATCCAAAAGCTACATAAGTCCGAGCAACAGGAATTTTGATCTTGGATCAAAGAAAAGAAAAACAGGAATTTTGAATAAATAAGCTGAATATTTGTACTAAAATTGAATAAAAAAACCTAAACTAACCAAATCAAAATATTCATCTGAGAGGTAAAAGTGCCTCAAATCATCTGATACTTCTAAACATAATCATCTGTCACAGAAGGAATTGTATACTCTGACTCATTCTTAGTAAATAAGGAAAGCTTAATCATGATTATGTAGGGCATGCTAATGTTGCCCTACTTGTTGATCAGAGTTCTTGGTTTTGCCCTTGTTGCTTTCACATACGTACGTCCAATGATGAAAATATCTCCAAGTTTTCACAAATTTGATTCTGCGTAATGATAAGGCTGCATGGTGTCTTTACTTTGAACAATCGATTCAACCAATTGTGGTTTCAGAATTTTCGGTGATGTCAAAATATCAAAAGTACTATTTAGTATATACTCTACCAAGACCACATGGATATTGATCAATACTTTAAGGATATTAATTATTAAAACCTTTAAAATATATCTAAACTAAAATTATTTTTTATAAATCCATTCAAATTAAAATAAAGATTGAACACCAGCAATTTCACATTATATAGTAAAAATATGGTCTTCAACTATACATGATAAAAAGAATTTAAATTAAATTATCATTAGAATAACTTTGTTCTCCACTTTTATCCGATAATGTTTACACATTATTCAAAAAGAGTTAAAATCAGTGAATAATATTATTATATTATTCATTTTGTCTGAACCTAGGTACTAAAATTATTGTTTAGAGAAAATTTTGTTCAAGTCGAATAAAATTGTCTTTACTAATACTTAAATTTGAGACTACATATATTAAATTGAAACAATTTAGTTGATCTATATTCTCGTTTACCAATGTGAAAATTTATCAGGCTAAAAAGTTTACATAAATTGAGTTAGACTTAATCTATATTCCAATCATCTTTAAAAAATTACTATAATATATTAAAAATATTTATTTTATATAATAATTTTTTATTATATACTTATAGACAAATAAAATACTTAAAAAATAGATAAAGAATAATTAATTTATATAATATTAAATATTTAAAATGAATTATTATTATTACATAATATTAAATAAAATATAATAATTTATTATCAAATTAAATTATATATTTATCTATTTTTTATTTATATTATTAATAACTATTAAATTATAGTAACATTTTTTATTTATATAATTTTATAATATATTATTTCATAATATTATTTGAGTATTAACCATAAATTTTTTTACATGTTAACATTTTTATATTATTATTATTATTATTTATTGTTATAAAATTGTTTAGGAACATTTTAAATAAACATTTTGAAAGTCCCAAGCTTACAACATAACATAATGTTGACTAAATTTATTAAATTAAATATTATTAAAATATTCAAAATGATTTATTTAATAAAATTTGATATTATTAAAAAAATAAATACAATATCATTATCATAAAATTGTAAACATATGATTTTTAAAATAAAAAAAATTATTGGTGTAGAAAAATAACTTGTGAACTTAACAAAAATTAATAAATATTTACAAATTTAAATTTTTTATTTTAATTTGATAAATTTTATTTTAAAAATATATTTTTATATTTAAATATAACTTTAATTAACTTTAAATAAAATAATAATTTAAAAAGTATCAACAAAAACACGTATCTTTTATTAAAAAATATTAATTTTCATCCAATACTTTCATCCAATACTTCATAAAACATACTAAATTCTGACCTAAAATTTGTTGGTTATTTTTTTGGAGAATTTACTTGAGAAGATGACATTAGGGTTAGTGTGAACGAGGAAACAATCAACCTAAGCCACAACATTTAAGCCAATTCTCCTACTATCATTGGCGCCAAAAGCGTTTGTAACACTTACTTTCTCATTTTGAGACGTCTGAAGTAGTTGAGAAGCTAGAATGCTTTATTTTCCTAACAGGTCATCAATACCATATTTCTGTGAGTGTGTGCAGAAAGAGGGAGAGGAGAGGAAATAGGGGATTAGGTGGTTATGAGAAAGGAGAGAGAGAGAATCAATGACTCACGTTGATTTGTGTTCATCAATGTTAAATACTGTTCAGAGGATATTTACGTCTTTTACATCAAACTATTAAACAATAACCTAATTTTGTTAGATACAAAAGCACACCTATATATACTCACGTTGGGTACAATTTTTCTAAATTATTTTCTTTTTCCTTTACATGGTACCCTTTTCAGTAATGATATTCTACAACTTTGGTTCATACCTCCCTTCGTTATGTTATTCTTCCAAAGTTATATGCTTACATGGGTCAATTATGTGACTTTTAATTTGTTTTCAAATGTTTCTTTTATTTTGACATATTTATTTAATTGCATTAATTATTTTTAAATTATCATTAATTAACAATAAGGATTAAAAAGATTTTTTAAAAAAATATAAAATAATAGACATGATATATATTTCGTTAAGTCTAAATTTAGTCTTAAAACACCTACATTATGACGAAATACTAAAACAGGATTATCTGTTTTTCTAAAAGGTAATTTTATGTTTTAAATAAAATAATTAATTGAGATAAAATTTTTCTTGTATTTAAAGATAATTAAATTGTGATAGTTTGTAAATTCTACCTCTTTAATTAATTTTTATAAGCCAAAATAATTTTTTGAAATCTTTTTTTTTTATGTATTCATTATACTTTTTGAAGAGTAAGATAATATACCTTTTGAAGTTATGACAAAATTTACATAATTAATTTAAAATAATTATTTTAAAATGAACATTAGCTTAGTGGGTTAATATGTTTCTTATTCATAATCAACTTTTAAATCAAAATAATAAATTGATTTTCTAATATTTTAATTAAATAAATATTTGTGATGAGCTTTGTTTTTATTTTAAAAAAGAAATTGTTCACTCTTCTGTCGTGATCTTCATTGCAATAACTATCTATCTATTTATATTTAAAATATTTTCTTCGAAATTATTTTTATAAGATTTCATTAAAAATGTAATTTAAACTCTAATACTTTACACATTGGTAGTCAAATAAAAATTTTAAAGTAATTTCTGCAAAAGATTGATAAAAATAACTTGCTATACAAGGGACTTTACTAAAATATGAAAAGTAAAAAATTGGACAATTGTATACATATACATCATTCTTCACATGGTATTTCTTGTCAATGTTAAACACATAATAAAGTATTGAATGATATCGCTATTAGCGTGAGGGTGAGAGGGGGAGATGTTATTTTTATATGCCGAGTGAAACTAAATAAATTTGGATTATATAAATACGTATCTTATGAAAGATAGATAATTGGGTCTTAACGTAGTAATTGCTAAAGGGGAATACAATATTGTTTAGCCTAATTAAAAGGTGAGAAAAATGAAGGATGGAAGGAAGATAAAAAAGAGAAGTAGTTTACTATAAATTCCCAATGATAATTCATCGATCATACATCAATTACTGTCACTGCGGTCAGGCTTATTTTTACCAAGCGTTTTTCTTGTTCTTACCTTTCCTCACCCAGCAACACATAATAACATATACCAAAATGATTTAGATTAGCACATACGGATCAGAAAGAAATTGAAGAGGCAGAAAAAGTATAGTCAACGTAATACAAATGATATGATTACTCATAATTACAAGTTTAGACATTTACATTAAGGCTAACTAATCATCATCATCATCTCTTGGTAATGTAGAGAGATAGATGTCCTTTCAGTCCTGAGAGTAGGCTAAGGTGAAAAAAGTGAGATACAAAGCACAAAAGGTACTAATGAGGCAGACAATAAAGCAAGCCCATGATAGTAATAATCATAAGAAAATAAATAAAGTGAGGGCATGCATGCATGCCAATAATATATATGCACTCCATATGCTAAGCTAGTATAACCACAAGGATTGGCCCATGTTGGCCTGATCAACGACCATGTCCATGCCAAAAAGGGACTTGGTTTGTGAAGACAAGAGCCTGCTTGATTGATATAAGTGTTCTGATGATGAATTGGAGGCTTCAGGAGGCATTGATGGTGGTTGTTGATCTGATGGTGTTGACAATTGGCGCATTCTCATGTGCACAACTTCTGCTTGTGCCAGTGCTAATTGTGTTTGAAGCACATCAACTTGTTGTTGAAGAGAAGATATGGCTCCCACACATCCATACACTGGGTCCCTCACCCTAGCATTGGCTTCATATACCATAGAACTAACAGCATCACTTCTTTGATGCTCTGGTAATTCCTGTCAATTTTTAGTAAAAATTGAAAATATCACCCCTTAGAACATTAATATATAAGCTAAATGTCACATTATGAGATATCTCATAGTTGCTGTCTAAATGACTTTTGGGATATAGTTATGATTGTTTGCTCATAGTGAGGTTTGATCATTCACAATAAAATGAAATAATAGTAATAACTCTTCCATATATATATATATATATAAGTAAAGGGTAAAAAAATGTTAATACATATATAAACTCTTTGAAATTATAAAATTTTATTTAGAAGAAAAGTTTTTATTACAAGTTTATACTTTTAGTATAATAAATACTTTTTAAAATAAAAATATCTGTTTTAAATGCTCATAATTAGAACTAAAAAAACACTTCATAAAAAAGATCAACAGGAAAAAGTAAAACTGATTTTTCAAAAGGAGGCTATACGCTAGTGAATCTTTGACCAAGATGTATAGGCTGGCTTTTTGAATTTGTAGTGAGGGCTGTGATGTAAATCAAAAGGGTTGTTTGGATATAAACTGATCCTATGCTTAGTCAAAAAGGGGACGATAAGGTGCACGCTGAAATTGGTTATATATTTTGGAGGGTGAAAAGAAAAAAAAGATTATATGTACATAGTTGAGTAGAGGCTATTGAATTATGTACAATAGTATTAAAATTATAATACTTAAAATACCATATACATCTCTACAAGCCACTGAAATCATGAAACTATTATATGGTGACCGAAAAGGCATGCCTGCAATTGTTTTTCTTGGCAGCTGTATATACTGCAATTATTATATGGTAATTAAGCTTTTGGCTTATAAATTTAAAAGATTTGTTGGTAAGCAAATGAATATTCAAGGTTATTTAAGGATACACTAATTCTTCTTGACATGCTTAAGGGATTCTAATATTAATTAATTAACACCTACAAGGCATGTTGTCTATGTTTTTAATCAATTATCATGTATTAATTAATATGATAATATATGTCTTAGCCCAGAACAGAACAAGAAGCCAATATGTCATCAAGGTATCATGCTTACAAAATAAATTTTTAAAAATACCAATAATTTATTCACAAGATGAAACATCTTTATCTGGGGAATCAACATCACTTTTGGACATATTACTAAGGTGTCTCTATCAATGTAACCCTGATTTTAAAGACAAAAGGAAAAGTTGAGCATACTAAAACTTTCTTTTTCCCTGAAATATCATTGCGCAAGGAGTCCAAGACTAAAAGCCAAGCGGTGGTCATAAAGAGAGATGTTGAACAAACTGGGATGCATATAACCATCAGTATAATGATGCGGTTAACATCTTGTTTTACTTTATCCTCTTCACACTCAGTGTGGCTTCAAGGAGTAAAGCTAATTTATACAAATTTGATCCTTGGTTCTCTTTATGTGCTCTAAGGAATCATTTGTGTATTACTAGCACCTTGAGCCCTTAACTTTAACAAAGAAGAATGGGAATTATGTACAGTTAATTAAAAGTGCAGACAGTAGGGCCTGCCCCAACTGTAACTAACCACTATAACGGAAGTAAATATTGGAAAAACAAAAGAAAGATACCCTTTTCACTTTTCTTCGACAACGACTTCCAATTTAAAATTAGAATAATATATAGCTCACGGTTGATTAATAAGGAACTAATTAAGACTCAAGATGTGCTAAGGTTCTGTTAGAAAATATTATAAAAATACCTTATATGTAATTTATTTTAATAAATTTTATAGTATAGTTTATTAAAATAAATTATTTTCAACTTATTTTTTAGTAAGTTTAATAGGTAAATTTATAATATAAGTTATTATTTAAAAAAATACTTATTAAATCAATGCTTAATTAAACTATATATCCAAACTCATAATAAATCAAATGTTTGTAACAACCTCTTCAACTCAGGAATTAACTAGAAACATACAGCGAGGTTAACCAATTTTCATAGAAGTTGCATTAGTATACGCCATGAAAGTCTTGACAATAGCAGTCATAATAAGATTACTCAGGCCCCATAGCCTGCAATTTTCAGTTTTCTAATTAAGAAATTACATGCACTCGTTTTAATTCACGTAATTAATAACTAAAGCTTTTGATATAACTGGTTCGTGACCTTAAAGTTTGTGTCTTGTTTCTCTCTCTTCTAAGAGGCGGTTGCATAACTTTCAAAACTAGTGTAAAATCGTTCAAGATTAACTAGTCTTGTAAATTCATGTTATCTGGTAAATAATTTTTATTTAACCGAGTTTTGTAAAAAAAAAAGTGATGATTTTAAACTAGTTTTTAACTAATCTATTTTTAGACTAAGTTAAATATAAGAAACATAGTATTTTTATTAGCAATTGGATAAATGAATGTCTCTATTATATTCTCTACAATAACATGTTACCCAAGTAACCAATAATCATTCTCCCCTAAGTCTAATTGAAGGAATAAATAATGGAAAAATGAAAAAGAAAAGGGGTATGTAAAAGTAAACTCAAAAGACTAATTTTGATATATTTTATTCATGCGAAATATTTTTTTAAAAAATTGAAGTAATTACAAAACATATATTTAAAAACTTAACCTATTATACTTCGATATCTAGCTAGTTTTCAAAAGTTTCTAAACACCCATAAATAAAAGCTTTTTTTTTTTTTTGGCGTATTGAAGTTGGAGGACGAGTTTATACATTATCCATACGTTAAACTCAAATACTCACATAGAGTGACATGTTAGATATACAATCTTTTGTATGCTGTTATTATTTCACTTTAGTATGAATATCGACAAGACACAGATAAATCACGACTCTAGAGCTCTGATGCAGGTTCAATATACTATTTGAGATGAAATGAGCAGCGTCCTTGGTTTTTCCTTTCGAACCCTTTCTTTGAAATATTATGATTCTCTAATAGATATATTCATCATTTTAAATTGCAGCTGTGGTTGTGGTTAAAGCAAATTACGGATAAATGAGAATAATGCAGGCGTAATTATGATTTTAAACCCATGGATATAATTGTCAAATACACAGCTTGTATAATAACATTCAATGTACTTTAAGCAAAAGTTGAATTGGTCATAGAAAAGTATTCTACTACCGTATTTTCATGAAAATGACAGAAATCTCATGCGTGGATGTGATGATAGGGATAGGAGAGGTGCACAAGAATTTGTACCTGTAACATTTTGTTCACATTGCTAGCCCCAAAAACCTTGTGCACACTACCAAACTTCTGGGGTTCATCTGCAGGAAAATAAGGAGCAAATACACAATCCCGGGAGCATCTTCTTCGAAGAAGCTTGCATGCTGCACATGGCGACATTGCACCTTGTTTTCTACCACTCTCCTTCATATTCTTTCCAAGAGAAAGAACAGGTCAATGTACTAAACCCTTTGAGCTATTAGATTTCCTTAAACCTAGAAACAAAAAAAGAAAAGAAAACAAGAAGAAAAATAGAAAGGTTCTTAATTGCAATGTGAAATAGGGAGCATAAGGGGCTTGAAAATCAAGAAAGAAGAAAAGAGAAGTTTAGAGAGGGGAAGGTGGACTTAAGGGGGGAATGGAGATGATGTTATATAGAGACGTTATGTGACAGCAAATCTTTGAGGGTCCCACAAAAGAAGAGGCTTTAGATTGTGCTGGACAAAATCATCCATGTTGATAAGATCTTTTGCCCCCACCTTGCATATTATTTTTTGTCTCACTATTTTATTTTATTCTTTTTCTTTGCGCGCTCTCGTAAGCTTTGTTGGCTTCACCTTTTGAAAGCTCTTCATCGAAATTATTTTTGTTACATCTCCTCATTGAATTATTATTCTGTTATATATTTAAACTAAAATTAAATTAATATTATTCGATACTGAAGTGACAGATTAACGAGTTAACAAAGTAAAGGATATACAAATAAGGTTTTTTTTACAAATAAGTCATTCACATTTAAACATATTTTCTTTTACATTCTTGAATCAGGTTTGTACTCAAAATTCTAATAAATATTGTGTATAATTTTTTCATACACACAATATGCTTCAAAAATTAAAGGAGAAATATTTTTATTAAATTTTGTCCCTCAAAATTACTCAATTTTTGTTTTGGGTTTGGTTCAGAACAAGCCATCTATATATATCTTCCTGTTTACAGACAATAATTGATAGATAATGTAATGTTAATTGAGTTACTGTTCTCTTCACGATCAAGTACATTGGTTAGTGTTTCTCATTGGCCTTGTGTTGAGCTTTTTCTTTTGATCCAAAAGTGACACATGAATTTTTCCTTTCTTCAATTCGTTTCTCGGAGCTTTACAAGGTGTACACTGAACAGATCGGTTTGTACGGATACTAAAGAACTTGACAAGAAACAAATTAAAGAGAACAGTCCAAGCGCCCTTTACTTAGATGTGAAACAAAACAGATTAATATAATATATCAACATGTTAGTTGAACCTGATGACTATGTATATGTTGTTTAAATTGTTTTATCGCTGATAAATATATACTTCAAGGGTTTCAAGAAAAAAAATGATTCACTTTAAATAAGTTTCGATAATGTATAATCATATATAGGATAAAAATTAAAGAATAAAAATTACATTTATTACTCAGTGGTAAAAAAATGAAGAATATAGATGAAGAATAAATTTTATTATTAATAAAAAAACATTTAATACTGGCTAAATTGGTAAATGAAAATGAAGAATGTTATTGAAAAAAAAAAGTAATTTATGCTGCAGAATTTAAAAATTAAAATATAAAAAGGTTAGTGTTGTAAATAATGAGAATATGTTTTCTAGGGGCTCAATTTGGTGAAAAGATATAGGAAAAAAATTAGTAGTCTTGGGGGAGAATGGTTAAACAATCGTAAGAGTTGTAGGAGATCGAAGCGATATATCTTTCTGGAAGCAGGTATTAATGGGGAAAACAATCTTCAACAAAAGATTTGAAAGAATTCACAGTATTTTTGAAAATATAAAGAGTATATAGTTGAAGTAGGATGTGGGAAAATGGTAATCGGTGGTGGAACCTTCATTGGCAGAGGGACATTTTTGAATGGGAAACACCTTAAATGGAGGAACTTCTAACATTGATCAATGTAGCACCCATTCAAGACCGAAAATAGAATGCATGGACATGGGAAAATTAGTCTCGGATGCTAATTAGCTAGAGAGATCACAATCCAGATTGCTCCAAAAACAATAACGAAATATTGTTAAAAACATTTTTGTTGAAGTTGGATCCTTTGAAAAGGTGACATTTTCGGGTGAAAAATATTAATAGATAAAAATTCAAACCAAATCAATCCAAGGAAAAACCAAATTACTATGGTGTGCTATGTAGAGAGATGAAAATTAATATACAATTGGAAAACAATGAAGTAATATACAATTGACAAAAAAACTTATAACTAAATGGTCTTTTTAAAGTTTAATTTTAAAGTGGGTGTGCTGTGTAAGTTTATTTGCATGATTTGTTTTGTAACGTTTTCAATTGAGTGTGAACGATGTTTTTGTTTTTAGAGAGAGAATTCTTTAGCATTGTGACGTCTCTATTTCATTACAGGAGATTTCTATTTCTTTTCATTGAGAAAATTTGGTTGATTTATATTATGACTGTGGATTTGTTGATCACAAATAACTGAAGTCATATCTAGAGGTAATGACAAATCCTACATATTGAACAATTCATTTTCTAGTTTTAAGCCAGTTTGTGTTTTTTCTTTTCCCTTTTTACTTATTGAAATTTTCTTGTTGCTTTGTACTCCGTGTTAATTGATTAATTAGTAATAAAAATACAATTAATAATAAATTTATAGAATAAATTGTATCAAGGAATTCAGAATGATCAAATAACTAGTTAATAATTTAAAAATAAAATTTATATATATATTATATATATATATATATAGATAAATTATTTTAAAGTTAAATTAATCAATTAGTCTTTATAATTTTTAATATTTTTAATTAAATCTTATAAATTAAATCTCTAATAATCAATATTTTTATATTTCTAATCAAATATCAATGACATGACATTTCTAATTTATTAACCTATTTTATTTTTTATGACTATTTTTTATGACTATTTTTTATAAATTCTAAAATTTTATTATTGTTAAATAATAAATAATTCAACATCTAAATTGTAGACCTATATTTCAAACTATATTTACAGTTACATATTCATTACACAACTACTAAAATATGATAAATCAGAAAGTACTAAAAAAGAAAAGAGGTTTCAAATTACTTTTACAACATATTCAGGTTTAGGGATTAACTTTGTTCATCACAAATTCAAGTTTTAATACCAACTTTAGATGAATGTTTTATTATAACAAATAAGTAAAAGATAAAAAAAAAAAAACTCATTTCCATTAGCATGCAAAATTACGATGTGCTAATAATAATTAAACATTACAGATATCACCCGATAATAACATGATTTAAGAATTTTTAAAATAAATTACTTATAAAAAATAATTATAAAAAATGAAAGCAGATAATTTCAAAATTATATAAAAATATAATGATATTGATACTTAACAGATATATAACAATGTTGATTATTAATAATTTAATTAAAAAAATTTAAAATTATAAAGACTAAATTAAAAAATTAGAATTAGGATAATTTTAAATGATTTAAAAAATATTTTAATTTAATTTTATAACCATAAATAATATGAATCAAAATATAAAAATTTAATAAAATTATAATAATTGTAAACGATAATTTTTATTCAATTAATATTTTTACCATATGAAGTAATTGCTAAGAATTTTGAGTGAGTATTACAAATAATATGTTGAGTATTCTAAATCTTATAAATGTAAACATAAACATTCACCAAAAATTTAAAAAATTATTTAAGATAATAAGAAATTTTTTTATAAATATAAAAAATAAGTATTTATAAATAATTTAAAAATGTATATAAAATAATAAAAATTATAAATATTCATAAAAATTGAAAAATTTATATTAGATTAAAAAAGTTAAATAACAGTTTTGTCTTTAAAATTTATAACATAATTAAAAAATTGGGTAAAATAATTATAACGAAAGAGTGTGTAATTCTTACACAAATTTTAAAAAATACACGTGAAAAACTATTAAAAAAATAGTTCACTTTAATGTTTTACCTTTTAAATAGTGTATTTACAGTTATAATACAAAGATTGATTGATAATTTGAGAAAAAAAAAAAGAAATATAATATTACATGTTCACTTAGTCCTAATTAAATAGGAAGTAGGTGATTAACAATTAAAAAAATAAATTATAAAAAATTAGTAATTGTATAGAGAAATCTAGATGCCTTAGATTTTTCATAATTGAAATTTTACCTGTGATTTATTGTGTTCATTGAGATTCTTTGATCTCTTTCTTTTCTAGCTTTCTGTCATTTTTTAATCTTATTTTAACTTTTAGTTTTTACATATTTGTTTAAAATAATTTAATGTTTGACTATCTTAGTACTTGGCAAACAGTCTATATGAGATGAAACTTGTCTTAAATACCAGCTTTATTACCAATAAATGAGTACACTTATTTGAAAACAACGACTATGTGCAAGTATAAATAAAATATTCTAGCTTAAGATATTTTAACGGAGTGTTATGCAAAGCTGGAAACTTGGTAAACAAGGAGCATTACTAGGTAATCCAAAATAACATTTTCGACATCAAGAAGGTTTTAATCGTTTTAAGATTAATAATGCATGAAATGTGATTTGGTGCTTTACAATATGGTCCATCTGGTCTCATAGAAATAAAATTATTTTTTCAAATATGAAAGTAGATTTGGATTGGATCGTGGATACTCTCAAGTGAAAGAAAAGGTACGTAGATCATATTTTTGTTTCTTATTATCAGTAGAACCTATAATATTTAAAAGAAACTGTTATAAAACTACATTCTTTTTAGTAAAGCAGTATAAAGGATTTTTGTGAAAAGTTTAAAATATTTATCATAAATGATTTTGTTAGCAGGAATTATTAAAGATTAATCTTCTACAACGATGTTAAGGTGCTGCAATAACTTATCATAATTTTACAATGCTTAAATATATAACAGTTAACATTACTATAATAAATAGTTAAAACTATTATAAAAGGAAAATTTTGCTTTTAGTAATGAGAGTACGCATATATATTGTAAAGACAAATAAATAAAAAATTAATAGAAGAATAATTTTTTAAGAAAACCAAGTCACAGTATTTTAAAAATAAGAGATTGAGTAAAAAAAAGACTCTGCTATGTACAGACAATAAAAATATACAAGTTAATATATTATATATGTAGTGGAGACTCAAAGGGCCAGGATAGAAGAAAACATGGTAATTAAAAGAATAAGCGAAGCACATGCTCCGAATCAAGATGATATCACGAACACCATATATATAAATTGTAAGTGGTTGACAAGTAGGGTCCTGGTGATATGAGCTAACCCATGACAAAGACTGAAAAGAATGTTAATTAACCAATTATGTTTTGATTAGAAGATAAACAAATGTTATCTAAT